AAAGGAGGGGATAGCACTGTTCCCTACCAAACGTCAAACTTCTCTTGTTAGAAAAGTAGACAGCTCCTTGAAGTATAAATAAGACTATCAAAACCTCCAAAAGTCAAATATGGTGGCACACACTTGTCGTCTTAGTGCTTGGAGGCCAAGGATCGCCTTGAGTTCAAAGCCAATATGGGCTACAGAATTGAATTCCAGGTCAGCCAGAGTTCAAACACACACACACACACACACACACACACACACACACACACGTGGGCTGATGAGGTAGCCTGGCAAGTAATGCCTCTTGTTGTTAAGGCTGATGACCTAAATTCGGTTCCCAGCACCCACATGGCGGAAGTTGTCCTTTGACCTCTCCACACTTGCACAGGTATGTATGTACACATGAACACAATAAATTAATGTCACACAAAAAAAAAGAAGTTGTCTAAATTGTGTTTGTTTTTGCAAGATCCAAACTGTAATGCACTGATGAAAACAGAGCAAGGAAAGCACCCTTGAGCCTGCTAAGTCTTCTCTTTCTTTTTTCTTTCTTTCTTTTTTTTTTTTTTAGACAGGGTTTCTCTGTGGCTTTGGAGCCTATCCTGGAACTCGCTCTTTGTAGACCGGACTGGCCTCAAACTCACAGAGGTCCACCTTCCTCTGCCTCCTGAGTGCTGGGATTAAAGGCGTGCTCCACCAATGCCCGGCTTGAGTCTCCTCTTTATGGGCACTGTGGCTCTGGCCATAATCTGCCAGTAGCAGTGAGGCTGATGCTTAGTTTTATGCTCTGATGTCACTGTCCTGATTTCTGAGTAGTTCTCCCATCACACTGGTCCTTACCCCTTCTCCCTCTTCCCCCTTTCTTAGGCAAGAGCTATTTTCTCTTTTAAATGAATTATTCATATGAATGTATGTGTATGGGGGATGTATGTACACATGGGGGTGGGGGGGTGTGCTCAAGCTGTAGAGGATACAGATATCCTCTACTTACTCCCTGGAGACAGCAACTCTCATGGCTGGAGCTAGACTGGCAGCCATAGGGCCCCAGTGAGCCTCCTGTCTCTCCCCTCACTGTGGTGACATATTATTTATGATTTAATAAAGACTGCCTGAAGGATCCAAATGCAAAGCCAACCGTACTAGTTAGCTATAGAAGCTGGGCAATGCTGGCACACACCTTTAATCCCAGGATTCAAGGAGACAAAGGCAGATGGATCTCTGAGTCCAAGGTCACCCAGGGCTACACAAGATTGAATCAGTCTAAAAGAGAAACAACTCACACAAAGGAGATCTCAGCACTTGGGTTCCCACGCCTTTACTCCCAGCTCTACAGATGTATATACAATAGGAGCAGATATTCAGTCTGGGCCATTTTGGTCTCCAGCCACATTCGGGCAATTAGTCTCCAGCCACATTGAGGGCAGGATTGCTTCAACTTGGGTAGAGGTAAGAGCTACTGGCTTGGCTGCTTTGCTTTGCTGATCTTCAGCTTGAAGCTTGAACCCAAATATCGGTCTTTGGGTCTTTATTTTTCATTTTTCAACCTCAGTGCTGGAGTTGAGGGTCAGCACACTGTCTCCTGGATTGTTCTCTCCTCACATGGGTGCGAGACTCTGAACTCAGGTCCTCTTGCGCAGCAAGTTCCATTACACATGGAGCCATCTCTCCAGCCCCAGCAGCTAGCTTTTCTTAAGGATTTTGTTGTTGTTGTTGCCTTATGTAGCTCAGGCTAGCCTTGAACTTCTGATCTTCCTGAGACTTTCTCTTGAATGTTGAGGGTATAAGCCTACACCACCTCACCACATTAGCACTGTTGCCTTCTTACTGTATTCTCCCTTTCCATCAATCTACTGCCTCATAGTTACCCAGTGACCCAGGAGGTCACCTGACTCCACCCAGTAGGTCACTTCTGCTCTGCTCCTCCTGCCCTGCCTCTACTCCTAGGCACCCATCACCTGGACCTCTCCAAACTGGCCCCTCTGAATCTTTCTGGACCTCTTTCCTGGTCTTCTCCAGGTCCTCAGGGCACTGTGATTACAGCTCTGTCTTCTGTGTGACAGCTGCACTCTGACCTATGACAGGGTCCGTGGATGCTCCTCTCTAGAACATTCTGTGCCTCCTTTGCTCACAGACATATCCCAGTGCCTAGAGTGGCACCTGCTGTGTAGAAAGGACTTGGTAAATACTCATTACTGAGGTGAGTACTTAGAGTGTCACCTAGGAGCCGGGTCCCTAGTCAACTTCTCTGAAACAACCCAGGGAGAAGAGCGGGGGTGTTGATAGCAGCCCAGGGTGTGCCTAGGAGGGGCTCCCAGAGTGTCCCAGAAGCAAGACAGACACACCTGGCCAGTGATTGAGGCCATCAGCTACCAGAGGGAAGAGGTCAGATGGGAGCAAGGTAGAATGTGCAGTCCCACACGAGGGCAAGAGCAAAGAGCAAGGCCCTTCAGAACTCTCAGCATCACCAGAAAGCGTGTAATTCCAAGGTGGGAATTGAGCCTTTAGTTTATCCAATTAGCTCCTAGACATTTTCCCCTACCCAAGGCCTTCTGGCACCTCAAATTCAGTCTGTCTAAAAGCCCATGAGAGCACAACCCTCTCTGAAATCTTGAAGTCACCATTTATTCTCCAAGTGGGCTTTGTCAGGTCACTGAATTCCCACGACTGTTTTCCTCAACTGCAAATCATGTATCAGCAATGGCCCCACAGCCCAAGAGGTCCCATCTTCCAGGGCTGCCTCTCAAACAGTGGTGCTAGTTCCAGCTTCTGGATCAGTGGGAACCCATGGCCCCATCTGTCCTGCTTGCTTCATTTTATGTCTGGGTCTAGCCGTTAGAGCGACTGCCTATCCCTTGGGAACCCAGGCCTGGAGAGAGTAACCAGGCCCAGCGCCCGAGAGTTCCAGCAGGTTCCACTCTGTTTCCTCAGCCTTTCAAAGACTTTCAGGTTTTACTCTCAGGCAGGGTCCGCAAACAGTCAGCACTGGGCCCACGTACATTTTAGACACTTGAGAAATTGTTTGGATTTTCATTTCTCTTTAAAATTCAAAACTGGGGTGGGGGTGTAGCTCAACCAGTAGTTAGTGTGCTTCCCACTTGGGAGACAATTCAATCCCCAGCCCTGAAGGAAAGAAAATGAGAAGAAAGAAATGAATAGTAATGAATACATTAATAAATCTAGACTATTTGGGGAAAAGAGGAGTTTTCATTCTCTTTTGCAGTGAACCCCCCAGGGCACAATGCTAGGGAAGTTCTCTACCACTGAGCTGCACCCAGGCGCCCATCCTATTTGTTTTGATAACAACAAAGTTGTAAGATACAATCTTACTCATTTTGTTAACAAATGGAGAGGCCATGGAAGCAAAGCCTCCCGGGGTCACCTCTTCCCTGCTGGAGAAGATATGTGGGTGAAGCCTTCATTCTCTCTCTGCTCTGCCCAGCTCTCGCCACCTTAGGAGCAAGTGTGTTCTTGTGGGAAGAGCAATCATCTCTAGCGTGGTGGTGCAGGTGGTGGGTTGGTCAAGAGGGTGACTTTGAATGGGGGCATCTACGGTACAGAGGAACAATGTGAAGACATTTTATATTTACTCTTTTGTTTGTTTTTCGAGACAGTGTTGCTCTGTGTAACAATCCTAGAACTTGCTCTGTAAACCACCAGGCTGGCCTCAAACTCACAGAGATACGCCTGCTTTTCCCTCCCAAGTGCTGGGTTTAAAGGCATTCACCACCACTGCCAGGGATTATATTTACTCTTTTTGTTTGTTTGTTTGTTTGTTGAGACAGGATTTCTCTGTATTGCTTTGGAGCCTATCCTGGAACTCACTCTGTAGAGCAGGCTGGCCTCGATCTCACAGAGATCCGCCTGCCTCTGCCTCCAGAGTGCTGGGATTAAAGGCGTGCGCCATCATCGCTTGGCTATATATACTCTTAAGGAAATCAACTTCTATGTCTTGGTACTGGGTGTTTTCTTTTCTTTCTTTTTTTTGTGTGTGTCTATGTATGTATGTGTGTCTATGTGTCTGTATAAATGTTCATATGTATAATCATACACACACACACACACACACACACACACACACACACACGGAGACCAGAGCACAGCTTGCAGAAGTGGGTTTTCTCCTTCCACTGTGTGAGTTCCAGGCATTGAACTCAGCTGTCATGCTTGACAGTAAACGCCTTTACCCTTGTTTTCTGCCCCTGGACCTAGTTTGTTTGTTTTTTTGTTTTGTTTTGTTTTTGAGGCAGAGTCTCTCTGCCAGACAAATCAGAGCTCACTGATTTGTCTAGGGTGATCGGCCAGCAACCTCCAAGGATCCCATCTTAGTGTTAGGATTACAAATATGTACTGCCTTGCCCAGCTTTTTGAGTGACTGCTAGGGTCCCAAACTAAAGCCTCAAGCTTCGATGGCAAGTACTTTACTTACTGAGCCATGTCTCCAGCCCAGTTTTTTGTTTCGTTTTGTTTTGTTTTGTTTTTGTCTTTGTTTTTGTTTTAAACAAGGTCTCACTCTATAACTCAGGCTGGAGCTCACTATGTAGCCTAAGCTGACCTCAAACTTGGGCCACCTACCTGCTTCAGTCCTCCGAGTGCTACCAATACAAATGTGAACTAGCTTTCTTGGTCCTGTACTGCATCTTCCGTCTTCCTGGAGCACAGAGAAGAGTGACTTAGGGAGGCTGTTGCCAGCAGGCAATCCTCAAGCAGATCCATGGAGGTCGGAGACGTGCCCTGTGTGACAGCGCTTGGCCAAAGAAATGTGGCTTTGCAAAGATGCACTTACATGGTGGAGTGGCACCTGTGTCCCATAGAGCAGTACACAGGGCAGTTTTAGAAGCATCGGCAGACACTTAGGGATGTGTTCCAGGAGCTGGACGTGGTGATGAACACTTTTAATCTCAGCACTCCAGAGGGAGAGGCAGGCAGATCTCGAGGCCAGCCTGGTCTACAGAGCCCAGGCTCTTACACAGAAAAACCCTGTCTTGAAAAAAAAAAAAAATGCGCTTTTCACCAAGATGATTCTGCTGAAAGAGAAGAAGGAAGCTCCTGCCCCTCCCAAAGCCAAAGCGAAGGCCTTGAAAGCCAAGAAGGCAGTGCTGAAAGGCGTCCACAGCCACAAAAAGAAGATCAGCAAGTCACCCACCTTCCAGCGGCCCAAGACCCTGCAGCTCCGGAGGCAGCCCAAACACCGGAGAAAGAACGCGCCCAGGAGAAACAAGCTTGACCACTATGCCATCATCAAACTCCCCCTGACCACTGAGTCAGCCATGAAGAAGATAGAAGACCACAACACACTTGTGTTCCTTGTGGACGTCAAGGCCAACAAGCACCAGATCAAACAGGCTGTGAAGAAGCTCTATGACATTGATGTGGCCAAAGTCAACACCCTCATAAGGCCTGACGGAGAGAAGAAGGCATGTGTTCGCTTGGCTCCTGATTATGATGCTCTGGATGTTGCCAACAAAATTGGGATCATCTAAACTGAGTCCAGCTGGCTAACTCCAAATATACACTTTTTCACCATAAAAAAAAAAAAATGCATTCCAGGGGCTGGGGAGAATTCTGGCCTAGCAATGAGGAAGCCCTGGGTTTGACCTCTGGCCTGGTGGAGCACACCTGGAATCCCAGCACTGGAGAAGTGGAGGCAGGAGGAGCAGAAAGTCAAAGGCATCTTTGGCTACATAGTGTTTGAGGGCAGCCTGGACTACTTGAGACTCTGTCTCAAAAAAGAGGAAAAAAAAAGAAAGGACAACAAACCTATTTGGAAGGAGAATGAAAGGGAGTGAAGGACAGTGGTGGGGGCAGGGGTGAAGGACAGAGGTGGGGGCAGGGGTGAAGGAGAGTGATGAGGCAGGGATGAAGGAGAGTGATGGGGGCAGGGGTGAAGGACAGAGGTGGGGGCAGGGGTGAAGGAGAGTGATGAGGGCAGGGGTGAAGGAGAGTGATGGGGCAGGGGTGAAGGAGAGTGATGGGGCAGGGGTGAAGGAGAGTGATGAGGGCAGGGGTGAAGGAGAGTGGGCAGGGAGCAGCCAGCAGGACAGGATGGACCGTGCTGAAGAACTGGAAAGGCAGACACATCTAACCAGTACAACAGGTAGGATCGGTGCTGGCTACCGGGTGAGAAAGACCGAGAATAACCTCAAGGTTTTAGCTTTAGCCATCAGGGCAAGTAATGCCCAATTATGGCTTCACCCAGAGGACAGAGAGACCTGAGGGCTCCAAGGAAGAATGTTCAGATTCCAGCCACCATCAAACAGCATGCGGACACCTTTGTGATCTGAGACACAGCCTGGAAATGAGAGCCAGACACGGGAGGGTTACAGTGAGGGAGTCACCAGCATGGTGGCCAATCACAAATCCACTGTTTAAACCATGAAGGACAAGAGCTGAGTCTGGGGGCTGTCCAGAGAAAGGACACTAAGGCCAGGTCAACTGTGGTTTTGATCTGGTTGTAAAACTGAGGGGAAGAAATATGTCTTCACTCAGCCCCTCCCCCTCTCATCCCTTCTCTTTCTTGCTGTGGGTAGCACATAGGGCCTTACTTATGTCTGACAACTCCTCTACCACTGAGTGAGTCTCCTAGCCCCTATTTTCTGTGTTTTATAGTAATGATATATTGCCATTTTAAAATACATTCATCCTATATTGAAACAATAAAATAGTTCCCAATAGATTAAGCACTGCTAAAAAGCCAAGCATGGTGAAGACTGGAGTCCACAGCCAGCACAGCTCCCCTCCCCAGGCTCCAGCCCCTAAAGGACAAGGGCATTTCTGGTGTTCTTGTTTCTGCCTGGGGCTTGTTTTCTGGCTAATCAAACCCTTTCCTGGGACACTAAAAAATGGGAGGAACCCAGTTCCAGGTGTCTGCTTCCGTACAGTGTGAGCCGGGAAGCTGATGGCTGCCAAGAAGCTGAAGAGAAGGCAGCAGGTTGCAAAACTGCAGGTTGAGGTAGAAGCTTGGGCTCGAACAGCCCCTAGGTGGAGATTCTCCATTCAAGGATAACGGCAGCCCTGCATGAGCCGGCCACAACAGCTGAGCTAAGTGGAGAGGAAGGGCGAGGCTAGACCACCAGGTCCACTGAGAACTGGAACACTCATTACTATGAGAAACTTAAAGGCTTTGAGGGGCCTGATTACACTTGATGATTAGCTGTGCTGGGGGCTGCAGAGTGAGGAGCAGTGTGGAGGACACTGGATTATCCAAAAATTGGACAGGGATGGTGGGGCTCTGGCTGAGGGGCAGGTGCTGCAGTTCCTAGGACGGAAAGGAAGGCGTTGCTTCTGTTTGGACACGATGAGGGCCAGGTGCATCTCCAAATGGAAATGTTCTAAAGCCTGGAGGCAGGAGGCAGGACAGTACTGAAGGTTTCAGCATGCTGGAAGTGTGGCTGTCCTCAGAGTGCCATTGGTGGCGTTTAAAGCCACAGGCTAAGCTGGCTGCACCTGGGAGGAAGTGAGAATGTGTATCCACCCAAAAGCCCCGTGGAAACTGTCCTTGTTAACACCCTCCAGCTCACTACCCTGCCCCATATTCCTCCCAATGTCACCAAAGATTGGTCGGTGGACCAGTCAGAACAATCTGAAAGGGGGTGGATCTGGAAGTCAAATTGAGATGGCTGAAGAATAGTCAGCTTGTCCCTGGAGCCCAGCCCTGAGCTGAAATCTGGAGTAAAAAATAGTCATGAGGCTGGAGGTGCAGCTCAGTGGTGCTATATGCCTCCTTTGCATGCTTGAGGCCCTGGGTTCACGCCCAGCAGAAAAGAGGGAGCGAGAGGCTGTGTATTAGATAATAGCAGACAATCCTGTATGTTAGATGCTTTGTGGTTTAATTCCTTGCATGTGATAATGTCCTGCCATAAGAGGCCCTCAGGAGACACACTTTTCTGCATCTCAGGCACAGACAGGAAGACTGAAGAAATGTTCTGGCTTTACTTGGTTTTCTCACCAACTGTAGAGGTCACTCTCACTAGCTCTGCTGTAGACAACACCTCTGGCATGTGGGTCACGATGGCCATGAAACTTAGAGATAGCTCACATTATTTGAGAAAACCACCCCTTCCCCTGGTTCCAAGTGGCAGCTGGATGCCCCTTTCATCAGAAAACCCTCACGGCCCCCTCACAGGGCACAATGATATCGCCGGTCCTGAATGCTGGTCCTAGAACCATGAGGTATGCACATGCGCAGCGTGGACCCCTGCCTCCTTTCCTTACCCTTGAATCGTCCTCCTTCTGTTAGACTACCCTGCTTCTCTCTACAGAAGGACCTTAAACCCTGTGCTCAGAGAGAAGGAGTTAGCACTCGGGACTCCAGCTTCTCACCCTTGGCCGGAATAAACTCACTGTTTCAGGGATTGGCCTGGTGAGCCACACGGGCTGCTTCAGTAGCCACACTTAAGGATAAAAGAGCAGCATCCCTGGAACTTCTCAGTAGCTCCACAATGCTAAACAAGTACACGAGCCGAGTGTTGGTTGCGCACGCCTTTAATCGCAGCACTCAGGAGACAGAGGCAGGCGGATCTCTGTGAGTTCGAGACCAGCCTGGTTTACAAGAGAGAGTTCCAGGACAGACTTCAAAGCCACAGAGAAACCCTGTCTCGAAACCCACCCTCCCCCCAAAAAGAAACCAAGTACATGTGTGTATGCATTTACATACTCATATATGAAGGCATACTACATACACTTAATAGAGACAGGGAGAGAGTGCAAAGGTGGCAAAATTCTAATTAGAAAAAAAAAACCTAGACAGAGACTAATAATGCTTTTTCAATTTTCTATAGGCTTAATTTTTTTCCTAGGAAAAAAAAATGAGAATTGAAAAAAGAAATAAAGAGTTGAATGTGCTTGGACTTCAGAATGAGACCCAGTCTCAACACCAACAAAAAAATGCAGTGGTGGTGCACTCCTTTAATCCCAGCACTCATGAGGCAGAGAGGCAGGCAGATCTCGGTGAGTTCGAGGCCAGCCTTGTCTATAGATCAAGTTCCAGGACAGCTAGGGCCACACAGACAAATCCTGTTTCAAAAAAAAAAAAAAAAAAAATAGCTGGGTGTTATTGCACACCCTTTTAGTCCTGTGAGTTCAAGGTCAGCCTGGTCTACATAGTGAGTTCCAGGCCAGTTACATAGTGAGACCCTGTCTCAAAATAAAACAGTCAATGCACAAGGACACTTGAAAAGGTAGGCTGCATTGAGCTTCAGGAAACACCCAGAGAACAGAGCCAAACGGTGGCCCAGAGCCGCCCCCCCCCTCCAAGGCTTTGGAAAACCTGCCAGGTGTCAAGGTGTGGGTGAGCATGGGATAGACAGGATCCTCCTGGCTTTTCCTGGTGACCGCCTCACACAAACGCTCACCAGTGTGATTTACACTGACTAGACCTCCCTGTGCTAGCAAATCTAACATGAAGTATACTCAGGAACTTAAAAACATCAGTTATTGAAGACAACAGCCGCCAGGGCAGCAGTGGCATCTGTTGGCAAGCCAATAGCAGATACCCTAAGGTTAAGTCCCATGATCCTTTTCTCAGGGAGAACCTCTCTCTGGCTTCACTACTGATGCTCTTTTTAGAGCCACTGCTAGCTGTCTTATAGATGGAGAAACAGCACTGCCAGTGACGGGTCTCAGCACCTCGGGCAGAGATTGTGTGAGTCATCCTGTGGCTCCCCGTGACTGGCAGAGTGCCAGGGGGAAGGGACAGGGAGGGAGAAGGGGTTGGGCCAGCCCTGTGGTGGCTGAGTGCTGGCTCGCTGACCGATGTACACAGATGGTCTCACTTAAGTTGATGAAACCTCTGGTGGTTGGGATTATTAACCCCTAGAGGAAACCAAGGGCTAGGAGGTTAAATAGTGTGCCAAAGGTCACACAGCAGAAACAAGCTGGACCGTCTTTGAACAAAAGCGTGTGCCCTTGACTGCCTGTCTGTATACTGTTTTCTCATAGAGCATGAGTGGGCTTTGGAAATTCTTGCAGCCACTTTACGTAAAAGTGGTTAGCACCCTGTTGAACACAGATAATAGTGTGGGGATGGCTGTCAATGCTGGTGACTGAATGAATGAATGAAGTGGAAACTTGACTTCTTGGCTTTACTTCAGAAGAACGATTCCCCCCACACACAGTCTTTGAATGCTTGATCTAATTAAAGCAAAAAGGCATCGGAGAGCCACTGGGTGGTTCCTTTATTAACTGGCAAGTGCCATCTGTAGGCTGTTTATGTGCCAAGGTCAGAGATCGGTCCTTAGCTGCTGTCCTGTCATTCCTGTGGCAGAGTGAAGAACATGGAGTGTGTGAGTGTGAAACTGACTGACAGGCAGGGCTGTGCCCTGGTGGGGCCAGGGAAGATCAGAGCTCCCAGCTACTGACTGCAGCCTGTTCCTTGCTGGTCAGGCAGATTCTCAGTGTTCCAGGCTGCCAGGTCACAGCTTTTGCACTGAAATTGAGATGAGTGGCAGATGCTGGCTTGCCCTAGGCAGTTAGTTCTCATGGAGGCCATCAAGATGTA